ACTAATAAAGTGAGATACAAAGGCATAGAAAATTATTTAATATAATATTATTAAAGCTATTTGCAATTGCGAAAACCTTGGAGAATCGCAATTTTTTGCTATTTCTTTTAGAATTTCGCAAAATTATCGTGAAACTCTTGAAGAGTCACAAAAAATTGCGATTTCTCTTCGAATTTCACAAAAAAATTGCGAAACCCTTGGAGAATTACAATTTTTGTGATTTCTCTTAGTATTTCACAAAAAATATCGCAAAATTCTTGGAGAGTCGCAAAAAATTGCGATTTTTTTTTCGAATTTCGCAAAAAAAATGCGAAAATCTTAGAGAATCGCAAATTTTTGCGATTACTCATCGAATTTCACAAATTTTCATGAATCTCGAAGAGAAATTTGCGATTTTTTGTGATTTTCCTAGAGTTTCGTATATAAATTGCGGATTCCTTATATAATCGAACTGTAATTTCAGATTAATCCAAAAATTCTGGTTCAGTTCAGATTTTTACCAGTCTGCGGTTTAGTTCAGATTCAGATTAGCATTTTAAGATTAATAATTCGAACTGAACTGAACTGAAATTTTCAGTTCAGATACGGATTGGCATCTAATCTGGACTGAACTGAACCGTTCAGAGCTTTAATACAACCCAAACTTTAAATAACAATCTTACTGTAGAATATCTAAATATTTCTATTACACCTATCCTTCCAAAAGACACAAGCATGATGGAAGTTGATCCTACTAAGGAAATTTCATTCAACAACTTTGACAAAGGGAAAAGTCTTGAAATTATTACATTAACATCAGAAATAACTATGCTAAAATTAACTATGAGTGTCGATGAGTCCTTTGACATGTCAGAAAATATTTTAGATACTTCAATCCTTAACTTTGAAGCATTTTCAACTCAGATTATCAAATTTTTTGAATACATTCTAATGGAAAAATTCTCTGGACTAAACCCTAAATGAAGATCTCAAAGATCACACATCTGTACTATGATAAATACAACTCGTTCATCAATGTCACAAAAGGAAAACACCCTATCAATCAAAACTAAGCAATCATTAAAGTTGCTCTTGTAAATAAATCTAAATGTGACACTTTCTGCAACTTCAAATTTCCTGATATAGATAACATCACGTTTTAACTATTGAACATAAAAAATCTGCCTTTACATATCTAATCGGTTAATCATAATTACAGAAATTTCCTTAGATATTACAGAAACTAGATTACGCAAATTATTTTTTAGATTTGAAAATATCATCCATTTATTATAGAAACTAAAAATTTCTAATAAAGAGCTACGATTACTTTTGATGAGAAAGTCAACTTTGAAAAATTAAAAAAAGGAGACAAAATTTACCTTTAAACGATATAATCTATTATTATTCTTGCAGTTTTTCCAAAACTGATATTCAAGCTCGTTCTGCATTTTCAGTCAAGCTTACTAACCTTTCTCATAATATTACATTACATGACTTTCAAGACATCAGAAACATAGTCTCTGCTACTGCTTGGATCATTTCTAGAGCTCGCTCTAACTACAATTATTTACAGCATGCATTTTTCTATTTTCTTAATAAAGAAGATACCCAGGCTACTATGGATATCAAGAATTTAATGTTGAATAATAAAAACTTAAATGGACTGATCCAAAAGTTAAACTTTACGCTATTTGCTCATCAGCCTATCATAACGCTTCTTCTTATTTCAAGCATTATTAGATTTCCAATGACTATAACATGCAAAATCTGTATCAGAGATTCCAATCTGCTCAATTCAACAATTATACTGCACTCAAATGAAGCTCTATTAGAAATGCTATTCGTGATAATATTACTTTTGCACACGTGGCTAAAACACTATAGCAAACTAATAACACACAAGATATTCCTAAGAGAAGACCTCCTTCACCTTCTCATCTAAGACTACTCCTAAATCATTTTCTCCTAGCTTTTCTAATATTAAACTAAAATTACATTGGGCAGATAAACCCATAGATGAATTTATGAAAACTAAAGTTTTACCTACTCCAAAATTAAACAATAATACAGTAAAAGTGGATCAATCTATGACTCAGACTTCAAATAATTTGTTATTTCTTAACTAACATTTATTTCTAACACACTTACGGATCTTTGTGTTGAATTTAAATTTTCTTAGAAATGTTTAGCTGTTGTTGAAAAGGCCTTTCACATTACAGTTGTCACTCCTGCTGAAGCAGAAGAATTCAATAACAACTTACCAGAATCTGCTACTGAAGTAGACCAAAAATTCACACATATTAATACTAATCTTTGCACTACCTATTTACAAAATAAATAAATGAACAATTAGTTCTTATTTATCAGAAACAATAATAACATATATCAGAATTTACTCCTATATTCAATAAGTTACTTAAGTCTTATCATGACCTTCAAACCATTCTTCTTAACAAAAATATTCTTAACAAACATGACACACAAATTTTTGAATCCTTAACTGAAGACTTTGACAAAGCAATAGAACGTTACATTAGCAGCTTCCAATAATAATTATTTGAAAAATTGACTGGTTGATTGATAAAATTTAACTTACGTTCTGGCTCTTCATCAGTTAATTTTTTTCATTAGAGGCATTTTGTTGGTATTACTGTTGATTGAGATTCTATTGTAAAGAACAAAAAAAATCAATTATTATTTGAAAAAATTGACTGGTTGATTGATAAAATTCAACTTACGTTCATTTTATTCTTGTGACGATTTTTTGTTTGGCGTTTTGATGGCATTTTGCGAAAAGAGAAATTGTAAAAAGAAGAAATTAAAAGAAGAAATTTGATTATAAAGATAAAATTTGATTTAAAAAGATAAAGTTTGTGAAATTATTTTTTAAGAAATGGAAAAATCAAGTTTATTTATATAAATTTTCATATATATACTAGAAATAAACTCAAATAGTTATATTAGATAATACATTAAATCAATATAATACTTAAAGTAAATCAGAAACAATTATCAATGTAATAAATACTTTAATTATGC